CTTTTTTTTTTTTGACAATATTATATAATTTTATTAACCAAAATAGATTACAATGCAATCAAATAATCAAAACATCCGAAACAACTAAATCTTGCAAGCACCTCCTCTCTTGGTTAAAGTATCCGCGATTCCATTTCCATATACTGATTTTGCATGGGCCCATTGTAAACATAGACGATGAGTGAACTTGCCTCTTTTCTTGAAACATCTATTGTCGAAAGCTTTTTTAAAGGCAATATCCAAATATATCATCTAATCTTAATAGGAACAGGCAATTGAACATCAACTTATATACAGATCCACCTGTAAATACCCTTTTGTACTTGGCTCCCACACCACCGCATCCTCATTCCTAGGCCTTGTTGCGAAGCTTCAAACATTGAATATACTCTTACCACATTCTCATGCACCTTTCTATGTTTAATCAATTTTGTACTCCACGCCTGTCAGTAGCTCATTTATTGTCAAGCTTTTCGAAGTCACTTTCCAAAAGAATTCAGGGAATTGCACCTTTAAAGGTCTATTCCATATCCATTTTGCTGGCAAAATCTAACACTCTCCCTTCCCCACCATTATCCTCATGTTTGTTAAAAATAACTAAGTATGCAAATCAATAACTTTTCAGGAAAATGTGTCTCTCCCATTTGGAGGTTGAAAATATGTGTTTATCAATCAGGAATCGACAACTACCCACACCACAACTTGTGGTGTGGATGGCATGTACTGCACGTTGGAAGTTGGGGTGCGGTGGGTGATGTACCTAGGTTGGCGTAGATTTTTTTGGGTTTGGGATTGTGATTGTGGTGATTAGAAATTGCTATATTAGTTTACAATTCATGGCTTGGTAGTACTGACATACTATGCTTCATTTTCACTTGAAAACCTACCATTCTGGTCCAGGGTTTTCTTAAATAGGTTATTGTACAGGATTTTTAAAATTTTTTTGGCCATTTTGGGCCAGACTATTGTCTTGATATATCTATGGGTTAGTGTGTCCCATGATGTACAGGCTAATGTGGCAAAATGCTTGCCTAAGGCTTATTCCCTCTGCTTAAAGATTTAGAACTCCAAAAAAAATATCAATTCCAAAAATAGGGCATTTACAGTTGCCCCTCTTTGACGCAACTCTGCCTATCGAGTGATAGGTGGGCTACAAAGACGTAGACACATATAGTCACGAATGAAATGAATGATTAAGAATGACTTAAAAAATTGAGAACTAATGCTCATAGGGTATTCGACCCTTCAAACATTGACTGCCACCCCATCCAGTTGCCTGCCTAGGAATTTAGGAATCTAGGGCTTACGGGCTGAGTGTTCACAGGACCGCTCTCGGGTAGTGTAGGGTATGTGCTCTCCAGGTCACTAATTTTGAATTTTTTTGAAGCCAATGATTGAAAATGAAATGAATGGAATTGAAATTGAGATTTCCCTTTTAATCCATATCTCTCGGCTTTCCTAAAGAATAGACAGGATATCCTAAGGAAAAATGCAAAGGGAAAAGGTTCCTAAAGGTGATTCAAAGTCTTTGATAAACTTATTTTTCATCAAATAAGTTTTTGAGGCGCGGGACAATTGTCATCATTTTAAGACTTAGTCTCTACTCTATTGTTTTTTAAAACATTTTAAAAGATTTTGAAAATAGGGAGAAGCTTTGGAAACAGAACTGGGTATCGGGTTACAATTTAAACCAAAATAATTAAAGTTTTTAAAAACAACAAGACAAAGTTTTGAAGATATCCATACCAGGACTGCTCCTGTGTTTGGAGTTTGAAAATTGAAATTAAGAATCAAAAATTAAGAAATTGCAATTAATAACTAGAAATTAAGAACCAAAAATTAAGAAATTACAATGAATAACTAGAAATTAAGAAATTTGAAATTTGAAATTAATAAATTAAAAGGAATATTTTGCAAAGATCGAGTTTTTTTTTAAAAGGACTTAGTCAACAATTTTAGCTCATGTAACCATGAAGCCAACTGAACAATTTAACGTCATGATGGGAGATGACGACAATTTAATATCATGCCTGGGACAGTAGCTCTTGATCTTTTGCATCGTACAAGTTCGACAGTTGAATTGATATGAAGGTAGCAGTTTATCCTCATGCATGGAGCTCATTGAATGAAGTTGATTAAAATGGCAATTTAGATTCATACTAAAATACAAAGAATTTGACTGAAGGTGGTAGTTTGGATTCATATCGGAATATAAATGATTCGATTGAAAGTGGTAGTTTGGATTCGTGCCAAGAATACAGAGGATTTGGATAGGAATATGCTCAGTAGTTTAGACTCATGCCACCGAAGAACATTGGGAGAAATGTCAAGGATGAATAAAAGAAGGGTGACATAAAAGTGAGGAATGATTTTGATGTTGCCATTGTGGGATGATGGGAACAAAGGAGATTTGGGAATAGGATGGTCACACAGTTTGGGCTCAAGCGACCACAGAGCCATGATAAGTTATTATTACTATTATTATGGTTGTTGTTATTATAACCGTTGTTGTTGTTGCTGTTATTATTGTTGTTGTTGCTGTTATTATTATGGGGCAGTCACAATCACAATTTAGGCCATGTGATTGAGGAGTAAGGGATTTCAAAACTCGGAGGAGATTTTGAAAGTAGAGCCTGAAGGACGATTTATAAAACAGGGAGAAAGAGTAACAAAAATTTTCTTTTTTCTTGTTTGAAATATGCTGATTATCATGAGAATTTTGGTACCTTTTCAATAGTTAAATAAATAAAAAAAAGAGGGATTTGAGTGACCAGAGGGGGGCCTTTTGGAAGCTTAGGAGAGTAGGGGCTGTTTTGAAAAGGTATTATTTTATTTTACTTTGTTTTTCTTAATTTGATGGGGTTGGAAAATGGAGGCTAGAATAGGGAATGGAAAATGATATCTCTTTTAGGAAAGTTCTATGCCATCTTTAAAAAATCCAATTTCCTATTTCAAAGTTTTGAGAGAGGGAAGGCTAAAGAATCACTCCAGGTTAATATTGGGAGATTTGGAAAGTGTTTTGGGATAGATGTAGTCTTTGGAAAGAGGATAGGAACATGTAATTGGGTGCGTTTTGAAAATGGGAAAGTGGGAGATTTGGAAAGTGTTTTTGAGATGGAATTTTTAACTTAATTTTTAATGGCGTCTAATCATGAATACGAAAAAATAAGTAAATTTTAAAAATTAGAAATAATAATTTTTAGTAAAAAAATATTTGGGCCGTTAGTTTATATTGTTTTTATATCCCTTTTTAAGATGAATGCTTTACTCTTTTTTTGAAGGGCATATGTAGTCGTGAGGTCCAGCCAGCATGGAACAATTTTCCGCATGTTTTTCATGCCACACAACATGCGGTGTGGAATGCTCCTTTGAGTCTTATTAAAAAGTCCTTTTAAGGGCGTGATCTTTCTTCATCACTTTGCTTAATTAGCCCTTTGTGTAAGGTTTTCCTTGGTTCTCTCTTTTGTAGGTACCTTCACCATGTCTTCTAGAGAGGAGGCTATTATTAGTGATGATGAGTCCATTTCCCATGGTTCCTCTTCTCATTTTTCATGGGGGTCACTTAGTCGCTCCCTTTCTAATTCGTCGGGATCTGCTTCTTTTCTGAGTCTGAGGAAATCTCAATGATCTTCTATTGAACTTTATCCTTCTTCCCCCTCTTATATTGAGTGGGGCATTTCTTGGATTTTCTCCTCACCAAAAAGCGTTGGGCTTTACCACATTTGCTCTTACATTGGCCCAGAAGGCTGTCATTGAAATGCTTAAGAGGCAGATTTCTAACAAAGTTGAACTTCTTCATGCTTGGGAACACCGCATCGAGACTTCAAAAGGATGAGAGTTAAGTCTCTCATGGGGAGCTCAAGAAGGCTCGTACAAGGGTTGCAATTCTTGTGGATTCCTCGGACTTAGAGTCTGATTAAACACAGTTCTCGTTTCAACCTTGCCATGTTGCCCACTTTCTCGGAATAAGGCTGTAGGTTAGGGTTCTTTCGCTCTCTTCTAAAGTTTTATGATTTGCTTTTATTTTCAGTGTTCGACCTCTCTGAGAGGAGAATAATCTCTGTAATCCCATATTTGAAAATTGACATAAAGTTGAAATTCAGGATGATATTCGAATATTTAGATTTGCTTAAGCATTTTGTTGCTTTCTTTCTATATATAAAAGTTTGATTAATATCATCTTCTCAAACTTGTTTGTGATTTGGTTTAAAACAAAGCATTTTGGATGAACAAACCGCTATTTTATATCTTTTGTTTTTTGTGTTTTAGCTAACCTCAATCCTATACAGAGGGTCTTTTATGGGTTTTTGTCCAATAATAATCCTTACACATTTGAGGGTCTTTTATGGGTTTTTCTCCAATAATAATCCTTATATGGGTTTTGTCCAATAATAATCCTTACACATTGGGTTATAGTTCTCGCTATTTACTAATATAAATCTTGTGTTTGGTATTGTTGTTTCATTTTATATTTCCAGTAAGTCTATAATATATTTTGTGTCGTGACAATAGAGTAAGTATTGTTATTATATTTATTGAAAATTTTGACAAAACTTTGTCAAGTATCATCCTAATGATACTAGCTAAGGAGATAAAATTGTTGTTCAATAGCTTTAAAATATCCATACAATAACTACAAATCATAATCTTATCATGTGTCATTTTTACATATCCAATTTTTTCACTCTATCTTTTGTGTCAAAACCAAAATATTCACGATGTTTTAATTTACCTAATTTTTGGTGATCCGCATTTTTGTCCCGATTGTTTTCCTCCAACCTTTTGGAACAAAACCGATTTATTAGCCAATATATTGTAATTCACCGACTTGCTAACTATGCAAGTGGACCATCCAAACTGGCATTTGTTTTGTACAAGCACCCTATGGCAAGACGTGCTACTTTTCTTTCATTGGGTAGATCAATGGAGTTGGACCTTGATATGTTGCAGGGTAATCAAAAGCGCTATGAAAAAAGACAGAGAGAGAGAGAGGCATTATGAAAAAAAACAAAAAAAAAATATATATATATATAGAGAGAGATAGCAACACAAATTTTGAATGAACAGATGGAATGACATAACACATGCCTTGTCTTTGCGTGAAGGCCTTCTTACAGGATTTCTTAATGGAGGTGATGAACCCACTTCTCGACAATGGAGGCTGACCCATACCATGGCCTGATTTCATCATCTGAGCCCACTGGAGAGTGATAAACGCCTTCCAACGTTATGTTGAGTGCCCCTTCCAAATGTGCTGAAATTTCAGGAACAACTCCATCTCCCCATACATTGGCTCGCCCACAAACCTGGTGCAACATTGGTAGATCCCTGGCGTCAAATTAAAACTACGCTCCAAGAACCAGTGTTGACGTATTGACTAAAAATCTGGGGTTTTAATTATTTAATATGAAACTACTGAAAACTAAATTACTGAGACTCTTTTAAGGAGAAGAAAGTTCTCTCTCTCTCTTCATGAGCATGCATGTCGGTTCATTTGTGCAAACGCGTGTCCCAACTTCCTTTCATGTACATAATACATATAATCCTACTTGGAAAAAGTATCCTCAAGCATCACAGTACTACTCACTTGAACTTGACATTTTCTGCTGTTTCTTTTTAACCCCAGTTATTGGATGATGATTTAAGGTAGTTAGATACACCACTGCAGAAATATATACAAATGAGAGAGAGAGGGAGAGAGAGATTGTAAATGGGGGATCTGTTCAGTCTAATGGGGTGAAGTTTGTTGGGAGAGATTGGGATTCTCAATTACCTCCTTTTGCAAGTATTTATCCATGCATAGATATACCTGCTTGTACCCCTGTCCAATGAAGCGGGCACGAATTGTAGGAGATGTGGAAACTGACATGTCCTCATTTATGACTGCAGTTTTGGCTTCAACTTTCATTGCAAGTAGAGTTTCTTGTGTTCTGCCTGATTTCCCAAATAAGCGAGCCCCCTGTATATGCCTGCAAATTATGTGATGAAAACTCCATTTCTCAGAGCACTGAAGTGACTCACAAATCAATAAAATTGAGCATGACACTTGATTAGAGGCATAAAACTATATCATATGTTGTGACCATTTCCTCATACAATTTGGCTACTTTATATCCATCAGTGCATGATACTTGGATATAGGTCCATATTTCAAATACATTGCACTACTCACTTATATTCAACATATGCTAATGTACAAGCTAATGTATTAGTCCAAGGCGCACGGTTGATCTATACCCTCAGCTTTTGGTACTTTTCAGGTTTTATACTACAGTAACTTCAAGGGATGTCTCTCGATAACTTTAAAGTTAGTCTATACTAAAATAACTTCTTTTAGGGATAAATATATGAAATTGTATTAAAGAAAAAGTTCATACATCCACTTCAAAGATCATCTAGTTTGGCAGTCAAGATAGAGAAGCAGAAAACAAGACGGGAAAGAATCACAGAGTGAGCATATAGTATGATAACCTTAAAACACTAGGATTGTTACCAGCCAAAATCACATGCACAAGAATAAAATAATGCTTATACTAATATTAAAAGTGGTGTCGGGCATTCATAGAGTGCCTTCATTTCGGTAAACTAATGCAAAGCAAACATAAGATAATTGACTATACCTCCCAGCTATACATACATATTTTAGGTCTGGTGTGTAAACAGCTTTTGCACAATATCTATCCACATAATCCAATAAACCCCTTGTTTGATCAATGACTCCTGACACTCCTTTTGGAGGGGCACTGAAAATGATCCATAATTCAAGGTCAGATACAATAAAAGGACTTAAAGGAAAAACATAGGACACTATGAGGGAGTAGATGAGCATATTTTCCCAAGGCGCACTTCTCATAGGCTCAATAATTTCATAGAACATAAGAAGCAGAACAGAATTAAAATGCATCTACATTGATCAATATAAGTCAGAATAGAAGTGCTGAATGATCTCCATATTCTATATGAGCAAAGCAAATGGATGGATGTAAAATATTGACTTCTTGACGAGGTGGACTCAAGATTAGTCATCAAATCAAATCAATTATTTGCAGTCTAGAAGATATACGTATGTGGAGTTCCCAGGGTTAATAGCAGTGAAACTTGCGATTGTCCGAATTCTTCCAAATAGACACGTGCAAGCCAACCTCCTGCTGAATGTCCAATCAAGGACAAATATTCCCCTACATATAAAAAAGTTTGGTATCTCAGAGACTTGGAAGCAACGAGTAGTTTGTAATTTATTTGTAAGAAATATGTAGCAAATAAGAAGGATTAGGTACATTGTCGATTAAATATGCAGCTAAACATTGCATCATATTCCAGAACGGGTGAATGGTGTTGAGGAATTTGTTTTTCCTAATGTTAACACTTGACACAGTGTTCAGTTCATGTTACAGAATATGAAGAATAAGGGAAAAACCAAAGTAAGCCACTATTAGCATGCCATAAACTACTAAGAAGCATGTATAGAGATGTGTGATAATAAACAATATGCACAATTTGAGCTACTTTATTGTGATGAATGGGTGGTTCTGGCCAGTGCTACTACATTGGAGTAAGAAACATTATGACATTATGGATCTTTCTTGTTCCGTCTATGGTCCGTCATACTTATTGGGCAAACTCATTAACCTTTAAACATTTGTTATTGGTGAAGTTTATATTGGTATCTGGGACTTGATGTCAAAGTGATCATCAATTTGCTTAATTTTTGCATTCACCACTTCCTTGAGAAGAAAGCAAAAGGGAACAAAATCCCTATTTTCAGCATTCTTGAGTCACTTCGAGAAGAGCATTAGTTGATAGAGCAGCCATACCTTCGGCTAGTTGTTTTGCCTCATGAACAGCTTTGTCAACCCTTTCCAAATACCTAGCAGCACAAGTAAACTGTAGTCAAGCATGTCAGCCAATATTTTTGAGATGGTATACAATATAAACAAATGGACTATGAGAAAGCATAGCCACTAGCCAGTGGTCATCACATTCAGTGAAATGAGTAAAGGTAATGGAGAGGGTAGGACCCTCCATTGGGATACAGTCATGCTTTAATGGATCCCACTTCCGCCTCTATCACCATGGGAGGGTGATGATCCAGCAGACTAGGTTTTTCCAAATAGTGCATTGTATCTCTATACATTCCCCATATATGTTTATCAATCTCTTAATCGTATCAGGAAAATCAATTACCAATCAAGGACCGGTCTAGGACGAAGTGTTCCCCGCCAATAATTTGCATCTAATAAACCAGCTGCATTCCTTAGCCAGTCAACTCGAGAAACTTTAGCAACAACAGTGGCTATACCTTTGTCTTCCAATGTATGAGCCAAAGCTTTATAATCATTAGAATTATTTCCCAAACCCTGAGAAATAAACATCATACAAGTAGGTGTAAATGATCTAACTTACTTAACAAAACCATCCATGTTAAGTACCACCTAGACATAGTACATAGCCAGCACTGGCAAAAAGAATCGAACAATCAGCAGTCGTAGTCAAAAGAATAGGGTCGAATTCCAAGGGACATATTTAACAGCACCGTGAGCATCAGATGAATCTCCCCATTGTCTAGTCTGTATATATATTGGGGCATTATTTCTCAATTTTCACACCATTGTGAATTCAGCTTAAGAAAAACTACCAATCAAAGCAGGTTCCCCATGCTAGCAACAATCCTTAGCATAAAATAAATAAATAAACTATAGAATACAAGCAAAATGAAAGAAAAACCATAATTGCCAGAAGAATTTAACGCCAGTAACATTACCAGGAGACAGGGAGAATATGGAGCAAACCCAAGAACTATTCAAACAGTGACTTTTCGAGAACAAAAGAGGCAACATATTCTAATTAAAAGCAAAATAAATGAAGCACTATAAATTCATTGCAGGAAGAAAATTAGTGAAGTTGAGTAACCTGGAGAAAGAAACTGAAGGGAACAATCAATTCCAAAAGAACTAGATGTCCAAAAAGTAAATCAAATCCAAGGAAAAGAAACCAGAGATAACAATCAATCCAAATTGTAAACTACCAACAGAGAAAAAACAATGAGACAACCCACAAATCTCGCAGGTTTTCAATGGTTTTGGGGCACATTTCGCCAGATATTTTCAGCATGAAATGAGGTGAAAATTTGAAACCAGAGACATGGATTGGCTGAGAGAGAAATGAAATATAGAACTTAACAGGCAGAATAACGGCTGGGCGACAGGTGACCGTTGGTCCGCGGGAGTTTTGAATTGCAGAGGCGAGGGGCATTATCTGTTTCCCGCACGCCATCTTGCTCGGTCCGCCACAACCAAAATATCTCCCCCGCTTTAGAGGGGTGTGCAAAGCCTGTGAAATAGGTTGGTTATGAGGGTCTAATGGGCCTGGTGAACTGGGCACAAAAAGCCCCGGTTCAAGGGCCAGTTTCGAGGCTGAGTATCGGTGCGGTGGTAGGAAAAGAGCCTCGGCTTAATTGGATAGCGCTTGACCAAAGGCGGGCCCCTTGCCCCTTTCCCCTTGACTCACAAAAAAAAAAAAATATAGCCTGATGGTTTACTAGGACCGGTTTATTTTTTAGAAACTGTTTTTATGAGTCCATGTAGAAATGACTCACCTCTTATTTTTAGATGATATTTTGACCTATTTTTTAAGGACATTTAATCTCTAACATGGAGCTCATGAATATGGATGAATAAATAAATTTTAAAAATTAAAAAAAATAATTTTATTAAAAAAACATTTGTACCTTTAATATCTATTGTTTTTAGATGGACTACCCACTTGCATCCATCTTTAAGATGGGTACTTTATATCTCTGGGACTGCAAATGTAAAAACAGTGTACCGACTGCATGAAACAATTTTCTTTATTTATTTTTTATCTTTTTTACATTGGTGTCCAGGCACAACTCAACCCATTAACAAGGGCAGCCCGGCGCGACAAGTAGAAAAGCAAGGGTGGGCGCTCTGCCTATTGAAGTATGTCCCGCTCTAAAATCTATCTCAATATAGAATTTGGATCTAAATTTCTGGTGATCTATAATCCGCATCATGGTGATCAAGCATATGGAAAAAATAAAATAAGTGTTCCTTTTATGATTTTATTGCTCCCATTTGGTTTAGAATTTAGTTGGGTACTCTTTTTTTTTTTTTGCAATGACCATTTTAAAGATGGACATTTTGATGCTAAGGGACGCATCCCCAAGCTTGTATAATAGTTTACCTCTAACTTATGGTTATATAACTGGATTTTTTGTATTAAATAAAAATGAATGGTATTAAATGTGGGAAAAAGTTTGTATAGAGTTGAGGCTCTAAACAATCAAATTAGAGCCCACCTAAAAAATTTCACTAGAAGAGATTGTTTTGATGCGCAAATATCTTCAAATTGATCATCTCGACATCAAGATGCATGAACATGAGAAAAAAATGGATTTCAAGTATTGAAAATAGTGCATCTTGTAACACATTTTTTGACGGTCAATTTACAAGATTTTCAAATTTTCATAGATATGCTCGATCTACACTCTTTTTGAAGCTTAAAATTTTATAATTGAATATGAAAATATATTTTAAGGCTATCACAAAGATTTTCAATATTAAAGCTACATTTTTCGACACTAATTGAAGGTACACTTTACTTTGATTGTTTAAATCCTCGGCTCAATACAAACCGCACCCTTAAATAAAAGCTTTTGATAATTTTGATAACAACTAATAGAACATCATTAATAGTAGAAAAAACTTGTTTTATCAGTAACAGGTGCTTAATCTATAGGGTTGGTTTCGCATGAGTGTCAATCCCAAACAATCTAAGGCGCATTACCATAACATACTGGAAGATGTAATTTTAATTTAAAAAATTCTCACGATAGCCTAAAACGCCATTTCTGCTCCTAATAAAACTTAAAGTTCCAAAAAGGGTTTAGATCAGCAAAACACCTAAAAAATTTGAAAATTTACTGTCTAGATAATATGTCACGAGAAGCAATTTTTTAGAACTTCGAACTTCTTTTTTTTTTGCATATCCATTGTCTTGATGTCGAGATGTTTGAAAATCTACTGTCTAGATAATATGTCACGAGAAGCAATTTTTTAGAACTTCGAACTTTTTTTTGTTGGGCATATCCATTGTCTTGAGGTCGAGATGATCAAGTGGTGGATTTTTTAGCACCAAAACAACTTTTTATCGTAGATTTTGAAGGTGTACCATGCTTCTATAGTACAATATTGGTGCACTATATAAACTTCTTCCTATCTTGGGTAAAAAGTATTGGTAAAATTTTGTTTGGACCCCTGAAAATGGTTGGATTTCATAATAATCCCTCCCTTCTATTGAGCGGTATTGATTTTTTATAGATATGTAGCATCCCACCTCCTACTCACATCTCTTCCTTTCCTTCTCTATTTTCACTTCACAAAATATCCCAAATAATTATATTTACCTCAACTACCCTATTTTTACCTCAACTACCGTTTCCATCTCTTACGAGGGAAGTGACAGAGGATGGGATGATATATACTTCTAAAAATTAATTCCATGAAATAGAAAAAATGGAATAGGGGTTATTAAGAAATTGAATTTTTTGAGGTATCTTTACAAAATTTTTCAAAAAATATACTCGGAAAGATTTTTTGGATTTGAAAACCTTGAAATCCATCTAAAATTATAAGATTATTATTTCAACATAGAAAATTTCTAGCTCTTTAATACTTAGATTTTTCTATCCAAAAACCGGGATCCATCTAAAATTCATTAGATGATCATTTTAAAAATGAAATTTGAGTTATTTAAAACTAAGGTTCCAAAAAATGTATCGTCTATTTTCAATTTTATGGCTTTTTATTGTCAGGTTCATAAGTGTGTGATTGAATTTATTTATTTATTTATTTTTATTTTTTTCTTAGTGTTAGTCATAGGTTGCAAATGATGCAACCGTCATGGGTCTGCTCTCTAGCTTCGTTTTTGCCCGAGGGAGCAAATGAACTTTTGTCCCGCGAGAGCACAAAATCGTTTTACAAAAATACTTCCGTCAAAAGTTCAACCGTAGGTAAGCGTTGGTCCCAGGCGTGCCTCTCTGTAGCCTGAAATTCTAGGGTTAGGTTTAGGTTTGGGTTTTCACCACCCATCCTCTGATTTCTGGTGTTTCCTGAATTTATGTTGTGCTTTCTCGTCTCCGTAAATCTTAGTTTAGAGTTTCTTAGGTCCTTGTATTGATTTTTTTTTTCTTCTGAAAATCTCGTTGTTAGGGTTTTGAGAGCTCGTCTCGTGCTCCTCCTCCTCTTAAATACGATAGCTAGGGTTTTATCTCTGAAAACCTAGGTTTCCATTATGACTTCTTTTGACGAAGAAGATGAAACCCTAGCTCAATTCCTTGAATCAGAGGTCCTTTCTCAGGATTCAGACGCGGTGAGTTTTCATTGAATTTGTATGTATCGGTATATATATATGATTCTTTACAATTGGTTATGCTTATGGAAATACATATTATGATGTTCTTCTGGGTCTATAGTTACATTGCCTTCGATTATTGTAATTGTGTACCTTTTTTAATTTAGCTTAATTGTGGTTCAATTGTCTGCAGAAAATCATATATTCACTGTTTCAATTTGAGAAATTAAATATCTGGTAATATCGTTTATTTTGTTGCAAGTATGGAAATTTATTTCTGTACATTAGGCTACCCTTTATGTATTTCAATAAAGCATGTCTTTTTTTGCTATACATAACGGATTTGTGATTGATAAGCACGACTTTCAGTGTATTTAAATTATTCCTTTTTGAAAAAATCATTTACTCTATCGCGATTATGGAAACTTATTGCTGTAAGCTTGGTAAGCTTTCTTGTATCGCAATAAAATTGCTATATATTACGTCATGTTATTGTTGAGTATGACTTTTGGTATGCGTAAAGGATCTCTTTGTGAAAAAATTAACGTTTATTTTTTTGGTTAAGCTGACCAAAATCATCTCATATAATTTAACGCATCTCATATAAATTATCTCATATAATTTAACTTTAGGGAAATTATCACTAATTATCCCTTATAATTCTTGTATTTACAAAAGGGTGCAGTTTGTATAGAGCCGAGGCTCTAAACAATCAAATTAAAGCCCACCTTCAAATAGTATCGAGAAATGTGATTTCAATATTGAAAATCTTTGTGATAGCCTTAAAATATATTTTCAACTTTAATTATAAAATTTAAACCTTCAAAAATAGTGTAGATTGAGAAGATCTATGAACACTTGAAAATTTTAAAAATTGACAATCCAAAAATGCGTTACAAGAAGCCCTATGTCCAATACTTGAAATTCATTTTTTCTCATCTCCATACATCTTGATGTCGAGATGATCAATTTGAAGATATTTGGACATCAAAACAACCTCTTCTATTAAATTTTTTGAGGTGGGCTCTAATTGGATTGTTTAGAGCCTCGGCTTTATATAAACTTTTCCTTTTACAAAAATCCCAATTTTTTTTGTTAATACCCACAACAAGCCTGCCACGGTTCTATTAGAACAATAGTGACTTGCGCTACGATCTATCCATAGCGCATTTGGTACTTTCTTGTCTGGGAGGACGCACCAAAAGGTGCTGCAGTTTTGTTAGATCCATAGCTACACAAAATACATGTTGCTCTATGATCCGTAGTTGTGCAAAAGGCACTACAATTTTGTTAGATCAGATCGGGCCTTTTGTGCTTTTTAGAATTTCAGAACGTGCCAAAGATGATACGGTCTTAACAGAACCATCGCACCTAGTGCCATAGATCTAATAGATTCTTAGCGCATCTAATAAAGCCTTTGGTACTTCACAAAGTGCCAAATGCGCTAAGCACTATAGGTTGATATGGATCTAATTGATCCATAGCAGTAGGTGCTACCATTTTGTTAGTACCAATGTTACCCCAACACTTTATTTGGGTTTAATATTGCGTGTCAACACATGTTGACACTTAAACATGATGGCACTGGTCTTGAGTTTGGTGTCGACACTTTGTCTTCTATTTTTATTGCTAAAATCAAAGTAGCTATGTGGTATTGTAGACATGCAACTTGGAGGGGTCATGGGTTGGAGCTCCACCCGTGCTATAAACAATGTGTCCCCCCCCCACCCCCTCCAGCCCCCAAGCATGAAAAGCCTTTTTTAAGTGCGAGGAACTCTTTTAAAGGCTGCTGGAGAGGTTGATCCCATGACCTTTTAACAAGGTGACATTGCCTCTACTGCCTAGGCATGTACATGCTTTGTGATAGAGAAGGTTACTTATTATCTATATCTATTTATAAATGTAAAAGGACATAAAAAGTAATGTATGTCTGGGGCTTTGAACCATGGATCCCTTGTTCTCACCTCACCTTCTAAAGAGCATGCTACTGCCTAGACTACTTGTCACATTATGTTTTTTTTATAGGAATTTACATATATATATATATATATATATATATATATGGAAAAATCTTGGGTGAGCCCACTAGCTCATGGAATAGTATAAGCCCAACGGTTCAGATTGAATCTGGGCCGATCTGACG